TAATTAGAAATAGAATAACTACTAAGGAATAAATGATTGATTTCATATATTATATGATCGATAAAAATGTATTAGAAAAGGTTTCAGATAAAATTAGAGTTAATCAATAATTTGGTGAATAAGCTTCTCAATTTACTTGTTCAATTATATGGCCCTTAGTAGAATGTTATTGGGCTACTATAGTTTATTTATATCAATTAAAACGAGTGAGTGAAGCAAGTACAACCTTTGAATTGGCAGAATTGATTGCACAGATATAAGGATTTGCTGAATAAATGTTTGGAGAACATATAATGGAACATTATGAGAGTTGCTCAATTGAAACTATTAAAAATGCTATTAACACTTACTCTACAATGAGATGTATTAATATCAATAAAAAGGTTGATTCAGAATAAGTTAACATTTTATTTACAGATTAAGAAGTATTTATAAAAGTTATAATTTTTTATAGTTATTAGAAGTAGAAGCTTAAGTGAAAAAGTACCTTAAGAATAATTATTCAAAATCAATATAAAACCCTATAGATATTGCAAGATCTTTGTTAGATTATACCATTATACCAAAATTATGAGTAGTGTTGTATATACTCATATTAATATTATTGAATTATGATGATATTTTGATTGATGCTCAATGATGATGTGATCCATTTCCCTTCTTAACATACTATAAACCACAATATTTGCAAGTTTAAGGTGTTCCTTCAGTTCTTGTATCTAATTTTATATAAACTTGAGGATGTCCTGCATTGATATGGGTACCACCCTTAAAGATATTATTATTTGATTACTAAGCATCTAACCACATCAGAATCTACTTCAATTATTGGAATTTTATGAATAAATTCTTCAGCTCTGCTTTTATGAGTTTGGAGTGATTTCTTAATATTATTCATAATACTTTATGAGTTTCATCATAATCTAACCATTTATGTTATGCTAAGCTAGTGTAAGATTTCACAACCTGCGAAAATTAAGCTGTCTTTGCTAATTGTATACACTTTTGCAACATTATTATAATTTATTAAATATATAAATATTTAAATATAATATAAAACTTATTAAAATTCTTTTAGTTGAGATGTTATCAATTCTTCTATAATTCAAAGAACTCCCTTTAATAATTTTAAATAGATTTTTACATTTGTTATTATAAAAATTTTGTTTTCCAAGTATTTACTTAATCAATTAAATATCTATACTTTTTCTTATACATTAGCATTTTACTCTTACAATTTTGCATGAATATATTCTATTTCTTTAACTTTTTCAAATAACTATTTACCATATTCATTAATTTTAATTCTACTTTATCCTACAATTGTTATATTTCTTTCTTATAATTTTTTAAAAGTATTAGTTAACCATCAAATCTAAATAATAGCTTTAGATAATTTACTTCTTCATAATCTTCCTATTATTATTATTATTTTCCTTCTAATATAGTTATCTTTTTTACAAAAACAGAACTTTTATTTTCTAAGTATCTTTGATTTATAGCAGATTCTGATTCACACCATCCATTTCATTTTAAGGAGAAACATTAAACTAAGATATATCAAATCTATAACCTAAATATTGATCCCATATTTGACTTCATATGCAGTACCACTTATAAAAATTAGTATGCCTATAGAATTTACAGGGTTATAAAGCTATTTGTAGTTAGAAATTTAAAATATATTTTGAGAAACTCTTAAATTCTTGGCAATGAAATTTATTTAAAATAAGTTGAAAATCCTACTCAGTAAGTGGGTTAAAAAATATATTATCATATGATATATTTATAATTAAATTCTAGAAAAAATGTAAAAAATTTTTGAGGTAGAGCGCCGCAAGTGGAATTTGATAAGTTATTCACCTTAAGTGTTTTTTGGTGTTCTGTTTTAGCTCCTAAGTCAAGTTGAACTTCTAGATTATCTAAATTTTTCAACGATTGATTTTTAATTTTAATGAAGTAACTCGCTAGCATGACCTCAATACATTACTGTAGAAAGGGCATATAAAGGTTTTATAAAAATTTTATTTTATTATGGGTTGGATAAATAGAACAAAATTTAAATGTTAAAAAAAATTAGTCTATTTTATTTTTATAATCTAATTATTTATAATTCTTTTATAATTATTAATAATATTTTATCAAATAATATTAAAAGATATTTGATAGTATTTATGATGTAATATTTTAAAATTTACAATTATATTTTAATTAGATCATCTCATTTGATTATTCACGTTCATCAAAGAAAAGAAATGTAAATTAAATTTGTTTTTTAATATTTGATTTGATTAAGAGACTGTTTAGTTTATATTTGGCCAATTTTTATTAATTATAATTTATATAGTCGTTAAAATAACAACGATGAAATCTGTGAATATTTTGAAAATGCTAGAAGCTAACAAAGAAAATAGAAACTTTTAATTTGTTTAAAATAGATAAACTAGAGTTTAATCTACTCTCTATATTAAAGATGAGTTATCTCAATAAAATATTAAACCAAGAGTTATTAGAGTTTCAAAATGGAATAAATCACAAAATATAAGAGAGAATTCAAAAAGAGAGGATCAAAGGCATATTAGTTATGAAATGCCCAGATAAAAAACTGATTAATATTAGCATATTTAAAGAACTTTAAAAAATAGAAGTTTAACAAACATCTAGATTTCTATCATTAATTAAACTCATAATAATAATAATAATAATAATAATAACAATGCTTCAATATCATTACCTAATAGTAATAAATGTAAACTTTATTTTTTTATTTGTAGATTTAATTACAAAAGGATTAGATAAATTTTCATCAATAGAAAATTATAGTAATCCATAATTAGTTAAAACTTATAAATAAGATATTTATAATTATCTTCAAGAACTCAATCAAAAGTAATAATAATAATTATAAAATGCTATCTCATATAATGCATTTTATTCATAAAGTTAAATAACTCTAAAAATGAGAAATGTTCTTATTAATTGGCTCTTTGAAGTGCATCATAAACTAAAATTGCAGTTAGAAACTCTTCTGCTTACTGTATGGCTTATAGACAAGTATATTAAAATTTATTATAAAGATTTATTGAAACCCATTTAGTATAAAAAAATAGATTTCAACTTTTTGGAATTGCTTGTTTATTCATTGCATCAAAATATTAAGAAGTTTATGGTGTTCCAAAAAGTGGTTAATTATCAAAACTGTGTGATGAGGTTTATAGCAAAGAAGATATTTTGAAGGCAGAAGGTTAGATACTGTAAAATATAAATTTTAATCTATCATTCATATCTCCACTTCGAATATTTGAACATATAGCTGAAGTAGATGATTAAATTAGGTTGATTATATAAATTTAATTAGTTGATATCTGATATAATTGGCTTCATTTAGCTATGGATTTGCCAATGGAGACCCTTTCTTAATAGTAGGAACTATTTTAGATATTGTTGGGAAAGTCTCGAACAAAAAGATTGATTAATCAATGTTAAAGGTAAANAAAGAAAAGAAATGTAAATTAAATTTGTTTTTTAATATTTGATTTGATTAAGAGACTGTTTAGTTTATATTTGGCCAATTTTTATTAATTATAATTTATATAGTCGTTAAAATAACAACGATGAAATCTGTGAATATTTTGAAAATGCTAGAAGCTAACAAAGAAAATAGAAACTTTTAATTTGTTTAAAATAGATAAACTAGAGTTTAATCTACTCTCTATATTAAAGATGAGTTATCTCAATAAAATATTAAACCAAGAGTTATTAGAGTTTCAAAATGGAATAAATCACAAAATATAAGAGAGAATTCAAAAAGAGAGGATCAAAGGCATATTAGTTATGAAATGCCCAGATAAAAAACTGATTAATATTAGCATATTTAAAGAACTTTAAAAAATAGAAGTTTAACAAACATCTAGATTTCTATCATTAATTAAACTCATAATAATAATAATAATAATAATAATAACAATGCTTCAATATCATTACCTAATAGTAATAAATGTAAACTTTATTTTTTTATTTGTAGATTTAATTACAAAAGGATTAGATAAATTTTCATCAATAGAAAATTATAGTAATCCATAATTAGTTAAAACTTATAAATAAGATATTTATAATTATCTTCAAGAACTCAATCAAAAGTAATAATAATAATTATAAAATGCTATCTCATATAATGCATTTTATTCATAAAGTTAAATAACTCTAAAAATGAGAAATGTTCTTATTAATTGGCTCTTTGAAGTGCATCATAAACTAAAATTGCAATTAGAAACTCTTCTGCTTACTGTATGGCTTATAGACAAGTATATTAAAATTTATTATAAAGATTTATTGAAACCCATTTAGTATAAAAAAATAGATTTCAACTTTTTGGAATTGCTTGTTTATTCATTGCATCAAAATATTAAGAAGTTTATGGTGTTCCAAAAAGTGGTTAATTATCAAAACTGTGTGATGAGGTTTATAGCAAAGAAGATATTTTGAAGGCAGAAGGTTAGATACTGTAAAATATAAATTTTAATCTATCATTCATATCTCCACTTCGAATATTTGAACATATAGCTGAAGTAGATGATTAAATTAGGTTGATTATATAAATTTAATTAGTTGATATCTGATATAATTGGCTTCATTTAGCTATGGATTTGCCAATGGAGACCCTTTCTTAATAGTAGGAACTATTTTAGATATTGTTGGGAAAGTCTCGAACAAAAAGATTGATTAATCAATGTTAAAGGTAAAATCATAACTTTTAGCTCTTAGGTTGATTCTAACCAAATTAATAAATTAACAAAGGAGTTAATTTAAACTTGGTTTTTAGATGAAGTTAGTTAACCATTTCCATCCCTTATTAAAAAGTATTAACTTTCTCACTACAATCATGCTTCAACAATTAATTTTAGTTAAGATCTATTTTTGTGATTTGAGAATAATATGTTATAGTTACTAATATTTACTTTTGAGAAATAATAATATAATTATTAATAATTTAATATATTATGAAACGACCAAAAAGCGCATAAGCCTAAAAGCTGTCTGCCAGGAACAAAGAAGAACTTTTAGAACAGAAACTATCACCTAATAGACCTACAGATTAAAAGTAATCATTAACCAAAACTATAAAACTAAAAGTATATATAATTTATGTTATGCAATCTTATTAAATAGGTTTAACACAATAACAATGATATCGTGGATGATAATCAAATGACAAGATCAGATCTCTTTACAAGAAAAAAGTCCGACCATTTTACATTTTTTACATCTTTCTAACATAAAATTAGATTGTAGCAAAATGAAATTGAGATTCTCAAATAACAAGTTTAACTCTAGTAAAGATTAGCTGAAAATATACCTAAAGATTTTGAGATTCAAATTCAATAATATGAAGATGAGATTAATCATTTACGATCTATGCTTGATGATGTTTTGCCAAGAGGATCTGAACCAAAGAAAAATTAGATTATTGGTTATTTATCTAAAATCTAAGAGTAGAAAGGGGAAATTAATAAACTAAAGTTATTAAATGATAATTTATAGAGAGAGCTTGAAAAGCTTTAGATTATTATGAAGAAATAATAAGAATAATAGTAGAAAGGCAATCAGTCATCCTACAGAAAATAGTTAAATTAAAATGAGAATCAAAATGATGACATTAAGACAATCTAACATTAATTTAATTAACAATTATAAGAGAAAGATAAAAAATTATTAGAATTAACTAAAATTCAATAACAAAATTAAATTAAATTAAATTCCTAAATCTAAAATATAGAATAATTAAATTCCCAATTATAAGCCAAATAAAGCGTTATGTAATAATTGATAATATATAAGTAAAATTATAGAAGCTGAAAATTAGAAATTGAAGGAAGAATCTAAATACTTAGAAGATTAAATATAAGAATAATAAGATAATATAAATGAACTAATATAGGAGAAACAATCACTTGAATAGAATTTGCAATAAATAGAATAATCATTAAAAACTCATTAAGAGAAAGATAAAGAAATCATAATTAAAAATAAGAAACAATTATCTTTAATATAATCAGCTTCTTTATTTGATTATTATCAATCTTCTAAAAAGGTTGAGATAGTATAAAAGTATTAATTTACATAATTATAGAATTGAAAAGCCTAAAAGAGAATTGACAATCTAAACTCTTAAAAATATCGATATAATTTAAATTAAAAATAAAATATAAAAGTATGATTTTGAATGTTAGTGTGAAATTATTATAAAAGAGGAAAAAGTAGAATTAACATCAAATGATTAGCTAGAAAATTAAGATTTTGTTGAAGATTATTAAGAATAAGATCAAAATTCATCATTTCAATAACAAAATTAAATTAATAAAAATGATAATATGCCTCTTTAATAAGAAGATATACAAGAATAATCTAATAATATATTTAAAAAATAAATAGTTGAAGAAATTGTTACAGATTATTTATCTTCATTTATAACAAACTTTTAAAGTTATGATTAACCTAGTTTAAATAATTTAAAATAAATTGAAAACCAAGATGAATTAACAATTGCTTAAAATATTTCTAATTAGTACTTAAATGTTTTTATAATGAACTTCTCAACAGAATTAATTTCAATTATTCAACCAGAAGTAGAGAATTATTTAAATGGCTTCATCGAATAATAAAATTTATTAAAATGTTAATGAAGTATAATATTAAACAATATTAATTATTATTAATCAATGTGTTTTTCTTAATAGCATTTATTCTATATCTAAAAAAGATTTCATTAATTCATTTTTCATTTATTAATACTATCCTAATCCTGATAACATTTAAGAAGGGTTTAATTCAATTTATTAAAATTCATCTTTTCTTTCTTAAAAATCTTTAATTGCTTTCGTTTTTGTATTAACAAAGTTGAAATAATCTGTATTTAATGTTGACTATTGATTTTATAATGATTTATGAGTATTTTTGCAAATTAGTTCATAATCAGGAACTAACTCATTAATCTAAAACTTAGAGCAACTAAATGTTTTTTTTTGTTAAGATAATTTTTGTGTAGATGATTTAGCTATAGACACTTTCATAACTGATTAAGGTTTAGAAATTTTTTTGTTTTGAATTCTGTTACTTTAAATTTGTTAAAGTTCTTTCTCTTTTTTTACTTTATCGATAATTTGTTAACGGGTCAAAAACATTTTTGTATTTGAAGGTTTGTTTGCTAAAAGGAGTTATAATTAAGAGAGGGAATTCATTTTTAACGGATTCAAACTAAGCTATATTAATTTAATTATTTATTCAATATTCTGTGGAAAAAAAATCTTCAAATACAATAAATGAATAAAAATATTAATACTTATTTTATGAAACTTACTATTTTATGTATTCAATTATGTTTTTGGATTAATATTTTATTCCTTTGTTAAAATAAAAAAATAAAATAAAATTGAAGGATGTTTTGAATAATAGAGTTTATTTATAGGAACCTTATAAACTTAATAAGGATTGAAAAATGGTTTAAAGCAAATGATATTTTGATTCAAAATTTAAATAAATAAAGCACTGTTACTTAAGTGATGGGATAGATAAAAAGAAATTCCAAAGTTGTTATTATTTGATTATAGAATCATCTTTTAATGATTTCGAATTTTATAATAAAAAAACTTCTTTTTTTTCACAGTAGAAATAATTAAAGTATTAATATTAATATATTGAATGAAAAAAGTAATAATATTAATAGGATTCATCTGCTTGTATTTTTGCTATGCAAATGAAGATGACGATTTGTTACTAGGATTAGAAATTATGAAAGAGGAAGATGCAATCAATATAAAATTTAAGCCTCAAATTTTTGCAGAAAATAAACTAAATACTAAATCTAAATAAGCTGAAAAAGATGATAAAGAATAAGAAGCAAAATCAGAAAAGGGTGAAGACTAAAATTCTTAGGAAAAATCTAGTTAAAATAATAAAAGTGATGAAGAAGATTAATAATAACGAGATGAATAAAAAAATAAAAGTTCAAAGAGTGATGACGAAGACTCTAATGATAATTCAAAGGGAAATAAAGAAAAAGGAAAATCTTAAGATTAAAATAAAAATAATAAAAAAAATAATCGTGAGTCTTAGGATGATGATGAAACAGAAAACGAATCAAAAAAAAATAAAAATTCTAATAAGAATAATTCTGATGATAATGATGATGAAAATAAAGGAGAAGATAGTAATGTAGTTTACGATAATCAAGAAGGAGCAGGTGGAGAAGATGAAGCATAATTTGAAGAAGTGAATTGGGATGAAGGTGGTGAAGAAGGGGATGAAGGAAATTAAAATTAGGATGAACAATATTAAGATGAATAAGGTGAAAAAATAATAGAAAATTTGTCTGATGAAGATTTAGGACGAGTTGTTAGAGATTTATTAAGAGGTGATGGATATAGAGGTGAATACTTATTTGAAGATGATACAAAAGCTACAAAGCCTAAAAAGGCTAATTTAGAATAAAGTGATTTATCAACTTATATTTAGATGTTGATGATGTTTGTTTCTATGCCTATGAAGAATGTAATTATTAAGGAAGAGCCATAAGACTCTGTGGTAGATTTCCCACAATTCCTCCTCAATTATCTAGAATGACTGTAAGATCAATTTAAGTAAGTATTATTTTTTTATTTAGATTCCAAGACACACTAGGATAGAATTTTATTCTTCTCCTGATTTTAAAGGTGAAATGCAATCTTTTATAGGATCAAATAGATGTCTTATAAATCCATTTACAATAAATAATTTAAGTGGAGGAATATTTGCTTATTGAAAAATATCAGTTATGTTTTTATAATTACTAGTTTATACTCAATTTAAAGTATATTGATAAAATGATAAAGATTCCAATTATAATTTATCTTGTAGTTCTAAAAAGCATGGTTAAGGAACTACCTTCTATTTAAGATCCCAATTAAACATCCAAATTTATGATTTACAGAATTACATATTTATTTTGTATTTGCTTGATTTAGAATTATCATTTTAATTAGTATAAAACAATTGTCTAGTTATGAATTAAACTTATTCTCTTCTTTCCCTATATAATTTAACTATTGGATTGAAAACAGATCCTTTCATACATTCAAATTGGGCATTTTCTTAACTCTCTAATTTATTAAGTACATAATCATTCTTTTTTGGTTAACCTTGCCATATTTCAACCCAACATTTCCACATTGTTTAAGGTGATAATTCATCAAAAATTGAAATCTCATCTTTTTCAAGTTAAATATATTCAGTTTCTATGATTTTTACTATAAAATATACTTATTAATTTCCCAGTTCCTTAATCAACAATAAATTTAACTTTACCATTATCAGATTTTCTAGTGACTGTAAATAAAATTTAATTGGATTTAGTTATCCAAGTTAACGAATATTCAATAGGGTTTTAAGACAAAGACTCATTTTATTATTCTGATAATCTTGAATCCACTTCAGAAAGGATCTTGCTTATAAAATAAATAAACTTTTAACTCTTGGATAGTCCACACTTAAATTTCACCTTTACTAGGCCAAAAGAAATTTTTTTTAATTGACTGCTGCTATTGACCCATAATTTATAATATAGATATTTTAATTCATTACAAAATTCATGATTTCTTATGGAATTAATAAATAATAATTATAATTGAATTGGATATATTTTAAGTTAATTTAATATATTTAATTATAGTTAAATCTTAGTTGTAGATAATCAAATATATTTACAATTACTTGAATAATTAACTAAATTAATTCAAATATAAAAACCTTATTCTTCTCTCAATAATCATTTTATTTTTAATACAAAAATACTTTATTCAAATCAAAAAAGATTATAAAATGTATTTTTTTTATTTTTGTATAAAATTTAAATTAATAATATAAAAAATATTATCAATAAAATACTAAAAATTTATCTGATTTAGTTCTTAATGGATTAAGTTATATATTTAAGTATTCATAATTAATCTATAAATATCAAATATATGATTTATATTTTTAATATACCCAGATTCAATTTTATAGTATATGTGCAATTATAATTTTAATATAATATAATTATAATAAAAGAAACATTATTATTTGAAGATTAGATTTTAGATATATGAAGTAATATTCACTCTATTTTATTATTTTTATTTGATCCATTTAATGATAAAGAAACCATTCTGATTTAAATACTTTTGATTGTGAGATCAGTTTTTTCTTCATTAATTTCCCATTCATCTTCTTATTATACTTATTTAATATTATCAATATTATTAGTTTTCTATTCTGAGAAAAATTATTGTGAGTTTTTTACCATAATTTATTTTTAAGTAAAATTATCAAGCCAATGGACTCTTTTTTTAATTTTGACATCATTTGTATTAATTCTTTATTCAATTGATGTTTTCTCTGTCTTTGCCTACTAATTACTTTTTTATGTCTTTTCATCAAAACAAAAGACTTGACCGTTATATAAAGAATTTAAACTGTCACGTCCTTTACTAATATCACCAGTTTATTTTTGAAGTTATTAATCTATTTAAATAACAAAGATCCAAAGAACTACAACCTAGGATCGAGGCTCTTTTACATAACTAAATAAATTATCATCAAAATTGTATAGTTAAGACTTTTTAAACTTTACAATTAATTCAACCTCTTTGTCTGAAATTTTGACACATGAATGATGAACATTATTAAAATATACTCCATATTTAGGTTTTGATTTAATTAGATCTGCATTTTATGATGGAGATTTGAAACATTTAGAATAGTAAACAAGCATTCCAGTTTTGAGTAACGCTATCATCCTTTAATTATGATAGAGAAAGCTATTGTTCAATTTTTTTGCTTTTAATACTCTTCCCATTAAATAAGATTAGATCTTAAATTATTATTTGCCTAAGTGAGATTAAAATTCGTTGTTCATATAAATAATAAATATCATTTTACTAAATTCAATTAACTTATTATAAAGTCCTCCATTTATTCAGTTTTATTAGCTTAACAATAAAGATCGTATAGCACTGATATCATTTCATTTCTACCTGGATGATCTTAAGGTAATTTATTTTTTAGTTAGGTAGCAAGATCAAAAAATTTTCTTTTGAGTGTATTTTCTTATTATTAATTTTATGGATCCATTTATTTAATTCTTCTTTTAGTTGCCTTCATTGCTTTTGCCATATAATCATAGAGTTATATAGATCCACAATCTTCTTATGGCAATTATTTAATCATATTCTCAATTTTATAAATTATAGTTTTAACAGTTTGGGCATCATTGGCAATTAATATTTAGTTTAAATTTGATATCATATCTGATAGTATTTTTTTTGAATAAATAAGTTATTACTTATCAAGTTCTTCTTAGAGCATTTATTTAAGTTTTTGAATTTTCATTTCTAATTTATCATCATTATATTAATCATGTTAATAAAATGTTTCATCACAAGGAATTTAATGCATAACTGTAAGTTCTAATTATTGATTGGAATTTACGACTCTTGATTTTGCTAATTTTTATTCTAATACTTATGAGACATTAAGAATAGGTTGTTTATGCATATCAAACTTATTCAAGAATTCAGATACCAAATTAGACATTAAGTTTAATTCTTATTCCTTAATAAATTTAAAGAATATAGAATACTTTTTTAACTTGATTTTGGGAAACATTCAATTAGGATATATCAGATTGATTAACCTTTTCAATAATTTAGGAATACTCTTTCATTACTTATTTTGCATCAACTTAGATTTTAGATTTAATAGTAGGATCATTGTTTGATTTTTTTAAATCATCTGCATAAGCTTATAGTAATCCCATAACCTTATCTTTTAAAACAGACATATCATCATAAAGTTCTTCCTCTATATAGCTTTTTTCAATTATTTCAGTATTTTCTGATTTAGGCTAAAAGAATGGATTCTTTCCAAAAGTACCACGATAACTCTAATTCTCTTATACTTACTCTTATTGTTTTTATTATATTACTTATGTAGGTTAAACTAAGAATTGAAATAGATTATACCTATTCCAATAGGATTATTAAATTGATTTTGACATATGGATTCTTCTTATTCTGAAACTATTGAAAAATCACTTAGCATCTTTGAAAGATTTGCTTAATCTATTTCTCTTAGAATTTGAACTTGGCCATTCCTAGGTTATGTTAATTTTTCAAAAGTGTCTCTAGGTGAATTGGGTCTTACTTAAAATGTAAATCTATCTTCATTATTATTTTATTCATATTTGTTAATGATGTTTTGTGCAGATTATCTAGAATTAGAATTTGATGAATTATTCATTCTAATAATTAATATAAAATATGTCAAAGTTTAAAGATAAACCTACATCTTCTCAAATAGGATGTGGCTGTTTTGGTGGTTCCATATAAAAAACGATGTACAGTATATTTTTTCATTCTAGGATGAAGTTCTCTCACATTGAGATTGATGAAGAGATTGTATCAGCATCAATAATCTTGGAAATGATTTATAGAGGTTAAAATGCTGAATTTGCATTATCACGCTGTAGATTAAATCCAAATTTAGTGTTATTGTAATTTAGAGATGATTTAGAGTACTTTATTCCACAACTAATCAACCAAATTTTAAATAAATAATTGGAATATGTGCTTAATTTTATTCTTAAAGCAGCTGAAGTAGATTTCTTCTTTGCTCATACATTTTTCTTTGCTTGGAGATCAATTGTAAATGATAATTCTCCAGAAATTGAAAATTATTTAAGACTCTTTTTATCAACTTTAGATAGAGTTTATAAAAAGACTCTCTTAATTGCAGCTTATTATGAGAACCATTAATTTAATCAAGGCATAGAATAACAGATTTCTAAAGGCATGCCTATTGTTCAATAAGTAAATACACTACCTGACAGAATTCAAGCATATGGTACATTATTTTATTCAAATCATGTGTTTGATGATAAATTGCATTTAGCTAATTATGAATCAATTTTCAGATAAGCTTAATCATCAGGATTTTGTTCTAATATCGATTTCTGGGATGACTTAATTTATATTTCCTAAAAGTATCTTATAATCTATAATATTTTAGTTTACATTTGGCAGACCCTAAAATAATATCTCTTAAAGCAGATATCCAAAAGATAAACAGAGGTTTACCTGCTGCAGTTTATATACCATTTTAAGGAGTGAGAAATTATGTTGTACTTAATATAGTTGTAGATGAATGCAAAGTATTTTCTACAAAATGTAGATCACCATTTTATTTATGCTTTGAAATCTATAGACCTGAAGAAGAAGCGGAATTGATTCCTAATCCACTTAGAAATAGTCTTTTGTCTATTCCAAAAATAGTAGGAAAAATGGATAATAAGAATAGTAGTGAAAATAATGAAACTTAAGATTGTACTAGAAATAGACCTACTTATCTTTGTAAAATTGTGGAAGTAGAAGAAGAAGCTGAAGATGGAAAGGAGGATTTGACATAATTCAGTAATATATTAAAGGATAATGATGTTTCACATTCATACTATGAAGATTTAAATAATTTAGTATCAATTTAAACTGGCACAGAAAAATAATTAAATAAAATGACAAAAAAGGAATTAACTGATTTAATTTTTGGTTATGATAATTAAGATAAAATAAGAAGTAACTCACCTTTTCGAAATTTCAAAACATGGAAATTAGTACATCTTATTGTTAAATCTGGTGATGACTTAAGATAAGAGTAATTTGCAATGCAATTAATTTCTACATTTGATTAGATTTTCAAAATTGAATAATTGAAATTATAATTGACAACTTATGAAGTTATATCTTTAGGACCTGGTTATGGTTTAATAGAAGTAGTTAAAGATGCTTTATCAATAGATTCGTTTAAAAAAAAGTTAAGTGATATTTTACAAATTAAATCTTTGAGTTCATATTTTAAGTATTTAGTTGTAATAATTAGATTAAATTCTTCATAAGCGATGATATCCAATTTCTTAAACAGTTTAGTGGCGTATAGTCTAGTTTGTTATTTTTTATAAATCAAAGATAGACATAATGGAAATATTTTATTACATAAAGATGGCTACATTGTTCATATAGATTTTGGATTTTTTTTATCAAGTGCCCCTAAGGGTAATTTAGAAAAAGATGTACCGTTTAAATTGACAGATGAATATGTTGAGATATTGGGTGGATATGATTCTAATTTATTTAAGAGGTTTAGAAAAATGTTCTTTGAAGGTTTTAAGGCAATTAGAAAGCATAAAGAAAAAATTATATTGTTAGTAAAAATGATGGAGAATTCCAATTTGAAGTGTTTTAAAGAAAAAACATTAAATAATTTGGAAAGAAGATTCCTACAAAATGATCTTTCGGATACTTAATTATATGTTTAATGCTAAAAGTATTTATTTATATTTAATATGTAAAGATTAATAGATTTGAGTAGAGGAAACTGGAGGGCTAATTGGTATGACAAGTATTAATACTATTTTTAAGGGATCATGTATTGATTTAAATTAATTTTTGAATTTTTATTATTTAAGTATTATTTATAATTCAAAGATAAATAAAGTAAAAATTCAGCATAAATCTTCATATTTTGATACAGTAATTCATTAATAAATAAAAATGCTTAAATCATTTGTTTTAATCAGCTTAATTTGCTGTTCTTTTTGTATGTTTTGCAATTACTATCCCATGGATCCTTTAGCATGCATTAGTAAAACAGAAGGAATAATGTGTAATATTTTAGTCTAAACAATAGGTTAATTTAGTGTATTTGAAAATGCTTGTGTGCCTACTTAAAGTACAAATTTAGGATGTAGTCCATAATTGAATAAGAGAGCTTGTTTAAACTAGCTTAGAAATATAGATGGAAATGAAGCAAAATGTATGAAATAAGTAAATATATTTTTAGGTTATTTTGGATCAAGATGTGTTGAAGCAAAAGAACATTATTTATAAAACTTAGGATGTTCACCATTATTCAATCGAAACTCTTGTGCAAGTGTAAAAGGAAAAATCTGTTATTGGGATGGGTAATAGTGCCAAGAAATTAAAACTTAATTCATAGAAGCTTAAAATTGTTAATCAGCATACAATGTACCAGTAACACCTAGTGCATGTGCTTTAATCATTGGAGTTAAATGTAAAAGTGGTTTATTTTAAAATGATTATGAATGTTAAAATGTTTTAGATGCAGAATTGAATACTCTTGGATGTAAAACTGAAGGGTTGAATAAAGAAGGTTGTTTGTAAATTGAAGGATAGAAATGTAAGATTTAATAATCATACTTTTAGGTATATTTGAAAATAATGAATGTAATGATAGTTCAAAAATTAATAGTTGTGATGATTATATTAATAAAGACTCATGTTTAGGGATTGTATTTCATAATATAACTTGTGTTTGGAAATAAAATAAGTGTTAAGTTTTAATTGTAGATAATATGAAAACTTGTGAAGATTATGTAAATGTAAGTCCTAGTGTATGTGCTATTTAAGATGGATATTGTTAATTTAAAGATGGAAATTGTATTAAGCCATAATTACATAATTAAAAATGCAATGATTTAGGTCTAAGTAGATTGAGTTGTTTATCTATAAAGGGTGATAATTGCACTTATATTAATAATAGATGTGAATAATTGAATGAAATATAATTGATTCAAATATCATGTAATGAATTAAATGAAGATGCTTGTGTTAATGTAAAGACATAATTTTAATTCTGTAAATGGACAGGAGAAGAATGTGTTGGAATATTTATTAATTAAGATATTGATTGTCCAATTTAAAATGATAATAATTTATTCAAATTTAATGGAAATGTATGTTAAGCAATATCTAAACCTGGAGTGAGATGTAAATACAATAATAAAACACATTTATGTGAAAAGACTATTGAAAGTGATACTTGTACAACTCCATTTTTAAATCTTAATGCATGTGTATCTATTTTAAAGTATGCTTGTTAATGGACAAGTTCTGGTTGTAATTAAGCAACAATAATACAAGAATAGACAAGTTGTTTAGATTTAGGTTTTGCTAATCAAATAGCATGTTCTTAGATATTAAAATCTGATGAAGATGGATGTTATTATGATACTAATTCATAATAATGTAGATTAGTTAGTGATTAATTATTAAATGAAATTAAATGTACTGGAATGGGATTAAATAGAATAGGTTGTGCATTAGTATTAACAACTGGTTAATTGTGTAGATGGTATAATAATTAATGTTAATAAATTAAACATAAGAATGATGTATAAGCTATATATTGTTTATAAATGTAATATGTAAATCCAGCTACTTGTGCATTAGTAGAGGCTGGTAATGAAGTATGTAGATATGAAAAAAATGCTAAAGGATGTGTTAATAGTTTAAATACTGAGACTATGACTTGTTCATTTCCAGGATTAAATGCTTATGCATGTGCTTAAATTTAATTAAAAAGTTGTTATTATGATAAAGATTTATGGTAATGTAAATAAATAACAGTTATTACTGCAAATACAATAGTAAAAAAATAGACAGATAAATTGTTATCAAATTCTGATTGTGTTACAAGTTCACCTACTCCTGATGTTTGTAGATCAATTACTAAAGCAAGTGCAAAATGTTCTTGGTTGTTTAGAGAGAATAGATGTTCTAATTAATATGTTACATTTAATGAAAGTTGTTTGGATTATAATACATAATATACTGGTAAAAATATATTGATTAATGCTAATGTATGTGCTTCAATTGAGATGGAATAACCTGATTATGATGCTTTAAAAGGTCCATTAATTGATAAAATGAAAGGATATTGTATTTTTGAAGGTGGTAATTGTACAGTTTTTAAAGGTATATGTGGAACACCATGTTGTAGTGAATTTGTAGGTATTAATTCACATGTTTGTGGACGTTATTCTACAGGACAATATTGTTATTTTAGTAATGAATTAAAATGTACAGAACTTACAATGGATATTGTGGATATTACAATTGAGAAATAAGTAAAAGATTATTATAATTCATTACAATTAAAATGTTCATATATGAATAAGAATTCTTGTCATATGATTGAATGGTCAACTCAATAAAGATGTTATTTTAATGGGAATTTATGTGTTAATATTAATTTTAGTTAATATCCAAATTTAAATATTTTTACAGCTGATACTGCTATTCTTAATAAATATGCATGTTTAGCAATTGAAGCTATGAAAACAGTAGATAATTCTGCAATGTTTTTTGGTTATGAAGGTAAACATTGTAAATTGAATCCTGATATAATAGATGTAACAGATTGTGGATCAACAGAATTAAATAGTAATGCTTGTTAAATGAAATATCCTGAAATTTATTGTAGATGGTCAAAATCAGAATTAAAATGTAAGAGTGTAGATTCTTATTATGTTGAAAATTTAACTTATTGTGATTAAAATTTGAATGAATTTGCTTGTGTAAATATTCCAAATGCAAGTTGTTTCTTTTCTTATTAAACACATAAGTGTACAGATGCACCAAATTTAGTAGAATGTGGTTATTTTGGAAGTGTGACAGGAACAGTTAGTAGATTAGCATGTATGAATATAAAATTAGATGGTTAAATTTGTGGATATGATGATAAAAAATTTGTTTGTAAAGATGTAAGTGCTGAATCAGATACTTGTGATTTACCAGATGGTAATGCTATAGCTTGTTATGCAAAAACTAAAGGTGATTGTAGATGGGATGAAAAGGAAATGTTATGTTATGAGAATGATAAACCACTCACTTAATTAGGATGTGAAGATAATGTAAATATGATTATATGTCTTAAAATAACTACTTAACCATGTGAATGGGATATTATAAAATTGAAATGTTTAAGATTAAAGAGTAATTAATTCTAATTAATACTACCTGATAATTTATATAATGCTGAAGCTTGTGTTTAAGTTTTTGGTGCACCATATAAATATGATCCAAATACTTATTTATGTAGTCCAATTACAGCTGCTGATATTTACAAGGAATAAAAGGATCCTGAAGATCCACTTGAACCTAATATTTTATGTGATGGAAGTATGTTATTAAATGTTGATGCTTGTTTATTTAGTACTATGTTATAGAAATGTTATTTTGATAAATCTTAAAGTGCAGAAAAAAGATGTTAAGCTTTTATTGGTATTTAAACATCATGTGATTCACCATATTAAATAAGTTTATAAATGTGTGCAGAAGTACCATAATCATGTTATTTTGTTAAATCATCTTATGAATGTAAATATATCAAAATTGAAGATTCAACTAAATGTAGTGATTTAAGAGATTAATCAGAATAATATTTATTTAATAAGATAGCTTGTTCATCTATCAATTATGAATATGCTGAATATGGTGGAACATTACAATGTTTTAAATCATCAGATCCTGATAATGAACCTGATTAAGAATTCTTACAATAATGTTAAGTAGAAAAATATTGTAAATGGGATTAATAAACTACTACATGTTAACTTACATCATTAAAAACTTTAGCTTGGATGGAAGAAGAAGTAGAAATTACAGATGGTGATGGAAATACATCAAAAGGAATGAAAAGATGGTGTGAAGAGGAAGTAATTACTTTTGAAGATGATTGTTCAAACATATATAGTAAAGGAGCATGTTTATAACTTTCATCTATATGTGCATTTGATATTTAAATGGGAGGTTGTTTTGAAATTGCTGGAAATGAAAAATAAATCTTATCATGTGAAGGTGTAATTGGTAGTAATTGTTTAAAGTCATTAAATCCTAATGCACCATGTGTTATAGATGATTCTATTAGTGTTGTTTTTCCTAAAATAGATACGTGTTTTGGATATCCAAATAATGAAGAATAAATATGTAAATAAACAGCTCCATCTAAATGTAAAGATGCAGAAGATTTAGGATAAGTAAGTCCTATTGTTTGTAGTAAAGTAAGTGATAATTGTTATTATGATGGTACTAAATGTTCATCAGATACAAAAAAGAAAAAATGTAATGAAACTTTCAGTTAACTTGCTTGTTTATCTAATGGATGTGATTTTACTTTAGGATTTTGTCAAGATGTATTCAAATCTCCATCATTTGATTCATTATCTCCATTTTATCTTTATTAATGTTAATACATTAGTAAATTGAGTATTTCAAGTATAATTAAAAGATAAGTTTGTGTATAAATGGATTTTCCTTGTGCCTTTTAAAATGAATAATGTGTTGCTGCAGCATAAGCTTATTGTTAAACTTTAAATTAATTACCAATCACTAAATAAGCATGTATATATTGTATAGGTGGATCATATTCATATGATTCTACTACAAATTATTGTAATTCATTAGTAACATAATAAATAGGATGTAATGATACAAATAAAGATGGTTGTTTAAGTATGACAACTGGTAAGAATTGTACATGGAAAAATGGAAAATGTATTGAATAAAGTAATTCAGAAGTAGAAAATCTAAAAGATTGTTCATTAACAAATTCATTTGGTTGTCCAAAAGTAGCAAATTCTTGTTGGACATCTCCTATAACTAAATTTTGTTCAATGGTAGATGTATATTCTACTTGTAAATAAATTAAATAATAGAATGGAAATCAATTAGCATGTATAATTAGTAATTTATAATCATGTTAATGGTTAAATAATGCATGTGAAGATTATCCATTAGATAGTTTAGATTGTACTTTAACTAATAAATATGGTTGTTTAAATTTAACTAAAGTTCCTTGTGGATGGTCTGAAGAAAATTAATAATGTTATTCTATATCATATAAATCAACAATAACAAAATGTACTGAATTCTTTGATTCAAATAAGAAATTAATAAAATTTAATTCATAATCTTGTTAATAAATTTAAGATGTTCCTTGTTTTAGAGATAGAACATAAAAATGTAATGAAATTGGATTAAAAGATAAAATAACATGTGAAACAATTGGATTAAATAAATTAGGTTGTTATTTAAATTCAACTGGATATTGTTAATTTATAGATGGATAATGTTAAACAATTCCTGATTTAAGTAAAATTACATGTACATCTCCTATAAATAAAGTAACATGTTTTAGTTTAAAATTAACTTGTAAATTTGTTGATAATGAATGTCAGGATTATGATGTAAGTACATTTACAACTATTGCATAAATTACTAAAGAGGAAATATTTCCATATTCACCTTCTGTTTGTTAATATTATAAAGAAATAGAAGGAAAAGCTTTATTATTAATATATGATTCTGTTAAAGGATGTTGTTTAGATGGTGATTTAGGTAAACCTTTCATTTATGATTGTAATTCACCAGGTTTAAATGAATTAACATGTTTAAAATAAACAAAACCTACATGTTAATTTATTAATAGTAAATGTTAAACATTAACAAATAAGATGATAAATGATTCAAAGATATGTGATCCAACATTTAATTGGAATGCTTGTGTTTAATTAAAATTAAAATGTAAATTTTATTAAAATAAATGTTAACCAGTAGAAGATTCTGAAACATGTTTATCTTTAGCTAATATTATTGCATCTCCATTAACTTGTTCTAGTAGATCAATTGATTTATAAGCTTGTATATTTGATTCTCTTACTTATAGTTGCAAAATATCTATTTCTACTACTTTATCTTGTACTTAGAGTGGATTGAATAAATATGGATGTACTATGAATACTGATTTAGAATTTTGTAGATTTAATGATATTATAAATACTTGTATGTCTACTTATGAAACCAATTTAAGTTGTTAACATTTAACAAATGAAAATAAATGTCTTTTTATTAAGACTGCTAAATAATATTGTAAATTTGATAATGGATGTTCAGCTATAGATCCACTATAAGTAATTTCTTGTTATGATTTAACACCTACTAATCCAATGACATGTACAGCTGCTGAATCAGTTGCATGTAAATATGACAGAATTACATAAAAGTGTGTTGCAGTTCTTGCAGATATGGATTTAGATGAACCATAATCTAATATGGTTTCTTTTAATAAATTAGCATGTATGAAATATCAAACAGATAATAAATAAGTTATTTATACAACTGAAGGATGTATAGAAGTTGATCCAGAAGATTTAGCTAATCTTACTTGTGATTAACCAGTAAATTAATTTACATGTTCTTAAATTACTAATCCAACATAATATTGTATTTATAAAGATTATAAATGCTAATTTATTTTACCAACAGAAATTACAATTAAATCTTGTGCTAATATAGGTTATGTTAATTAATAAGAATATTGTGAATAATCTGATGATGTACCTTGTAAATTTAATTCATTTACTAAATTATGTGAAGAAATAGATTTAGATACAGAACCAATTACTTCTTGTATAAGAGGAATTAATAAATTGGCTTGTGAATCTTTAGCATCTTGTAGATTTGATTAATTTTGTTTAGAAATATCAAAAAGTTGTGCAGGTAGTACAGATTGTACAAATGTAAATTCATAACCTTGTAAATTAGATAATAATAATAATTGTATTTTAGCAACTGAATTAACAACTCTTAATTGTGATTAAGTAATTAATAAACTTGCATGTATTAAAATTACAACTCCACTTTAATATTGTCGTTTTTCTTAATCATTATGTTAATCTGAAGATTTAATTGAATTTAAAAATGAAGAATGTGAAAATATAACAAATATCAATTCACCTTATTTTTGTGAATAACCAACTGATATTGCCTGTCGTTATGATCAATTCTAAAATAGATGTGTAGAATCTTTACCTACTGATAATATGGATTGTATTAGAGGTTTAAATGAATATGCTTGTCTTAATTACACAAAACCTTCTTTAAGATGTAGATTTACAGATTTTTGTTATGGACCAACTTAACCTATGTTTGAATGTGATAATACTTTATTTGATTGTTGCAACAAAGCTCCTGATATGAATACTTGTCTATTATAAAATCTCTTGGATTGTTAATGGGATGGTACTAATTGTATCAAATATACAAATCCTATTACTACATGCACATTACTCAATACTTCTAAACTTACATGTATCAAATCTACTGATAAAAACTGTTTATTCGATCTATCAACTAAATCTTGTATATAAATATTAGAACCTACATCATGTGATTAATTATAATCTGCTGAATAATGTTAAATGGTTCTCACAATACCTTGTATTTGGATAAATGAATAATGTAAATATCATGAATCAACAGTCTATGAAGAATGTGTAGATATCACTTCTGCTTTTGGATCTATGAGAGCATGTCTGAATATTGTAAGATCAGGATAAATGTGTTAATTTAAAGAAGGTTAATGTTCCTCTTATTTTCATGACTCTGATTAATGTTTAGATAACATTAATAAAGTTGCTTGTATCAGTTAAACTACTACTAAATGTTATTGGAAAGTTGAAACTATTCAAATAAAAAAGCTTAAGACTTCTTAACCTATACCTGTTGATTTTGGTACTTGTGCTTCTTTTGTTGATGATAAAATCACTCTTTGTAATGAGAATTTAAGTTATTTATCCTGTTTTTCTATTACTACTCTAAAGTAAAATTGTAAATGGTTAAATGGAAAATGCATATCTATACCTATATCTGATTCTATTGTTACACCCTAAACTCACGCGCTTGTCAATATAAATGCTTGTGCTCTTGTTGATACAGAACCAGTCTATTATGATTCTAAACAACATTTTTGTGTCAAAGTTTAACCTACTGATTCAATTGCTTGTTTACCACCTACACCAGGATTAAACATGAAAGCGTGTCTTACTATCACCAACTAAAGATGCAGATGGAATTTCGATAAACAGTAATGTGAATTCTCTAAATCTAAAATTAACAGGCAACTTTGATTTAAAATTATCAATCTTAAAATTTAATAAATATATTTTTCTTATATCATATATTATAAAATAATATTGAACATAAACAAAGAGATACTATAATACTTAATATTATTGTTCTTCAAATTATAATAGATTATGTTATATTAATTTATAAGAGTTTATTAATTTTTATTTGTATATATCTAAACTAAAATATATAAGTATTTAATATCATCTCTTTTGAATTATGAATTCTCAATCAAGATTTTCTTCAATTTTAATAAAAGATATAAGAATATACATATAACTTTTATAGATAATTGATTATAAAGAGTAATTAAACAATTACTATAATAACTCTAATCATATATATATAAATTTCATAAAAATAAAATAATTTAATATAATTTTATTTTTCAAAGTAATAGTTTTCATGCTAATGAATTATTCTAGATCATTATTAATAAATTGATATTTAATTATTTTATTATATTTAAAAAATTTTATTAAATATAAACCATTAGAAGAATACTTTGTTTAGATAAATCCCCTATACTGTTTTATGCTTACATAAATTATATTAATTTTATAAATTATTATATTTTAATAACTTGATTATATATGTCTTATCTTCAATATTTAACTTACTTTTTCTGGATATTTTTAATAAAATATCATTATGTTTCCAACAATTAAAATGATCTTTAAAAAATTGGATATTTGGTACCAATCTTAAGGAGTGATGTATTGATTTTATCAATGTTTGAATTGGTTCGAATTCGTTTGGTGACTTTATTTAATCTCTTTTTATCAATTAATGAGATTAAGATTATCTAAGTGTATATTAAATTATCGAATAAAATATTTAATGCTAATTTAATAAAGACAACCACTCATTTAATTTGATGATTTTAAATCATTTATGGGTAGTTAATGGATTAAGATTAATTATTTAAGTCAAACTCAATCTATTTAATGCCCTAATGATTTTGTAAATTGTGTTGACCACAACAAAGAAAGAATTTAAATTGACTAAGAACAATTAGCAAAGTTCTAAACCTCTAACTAGAAAATAATGATAATCACATTCTTCATTTATGGATATCACATCACTTATATCGAAAAATAACAATTTCGTTATAATTTCTTCAAAAAGTTTATCTAAGCAATAGATAAAATCGAAATTAAAAGTCTAGAGAACTTATAATAGATAATTGAACCTTAGCATCCTATTTGCAAATCAATTTTACTTGAATGCATAATAATGCTTCTTCATCAATCAAGTTAATTATTAGAAATAAATCAATAAAATGAAATAGAAGAATATAATGATGATTATACTACTATACCTGAAAGCAAACTATTTTATAAATAGGCTTATATACATTTAGTAAATTAAATGAAAGATGTTTTGTTTAAATGTTACAATGAAGGATAAATCTTGATCTAAATATTCATCAACTAATTATTTTAGAGTGAGGAACTATGTTAAAAGATACCAAAAGAATATGCAATTAAAATTCTTTATTATGATACAAAGTTTATAATTGATTTGATGCAAGAATATATTGATTGTTCTGATAAGTTAATTCATGTTACCAGATTATTAATCAAATAGATATTTCTTTAGAATCAAGAAAGCTAATGTAAAATATCATATCAAATATTTTCTAATTTATAGAAATTGAATGATAAAACATATTTATGTCTATAAGCTTTAAAAATTTGGTTGAATTCTAAAAACTTAACTGTCTTTTAATAAATTAGATAGTTTTTAGAAAATACATTTGAGAATTCTAATTTTAGCTATGAATATGATTAATAATGTATCGATTTATCATTTGAAATATTAAGTAAATTATATTAATATATATATAATAGCTAATATTAAATCTTAGGCATTTATAAATGGCACAAATTATACTGAATAATTATTATAGGAGTTAATATATATATTTGATATAATATGGATAACTTTGGAATCTCAAACTTGTAATCAACTTTTAGTTTAAAAGTATGATTTTTGGTTAAGTTATATTAATGGTTTAAATGAACTCCTTATTTCTTTGACACCAGTTTCAAAATAATCAAACGATATAAAAAGATGTGCTGGTCTATTTGTTATTTTACGTTATCATCAGAATATTTAAAATTATGTATCATCTTAAACTATTTTATTTCATTTTATTGATCAACTCTACCCATTAGATTAAAGTCTAATTAAATAAAGCATTTTACTCTAAAATTTGATTAAATCATCTATTGAATTTATAGTGGATCCATCACTAGCATAAAATGAAGGAATAATGACAACAATAGAAAAAGTCTTAAGATAAGTATAATTTATAAGTCCATATTTTAAATAAAAGATATTTCAATATATTTGGACTAAATTGAATCCTGAAGATAGATTTTACTTATAAGTATTGTAAATGGTGGTAACCTTATATTTAGAAAATGAAGATCATTCATTAGGAACTAGAAATAGTTTTTTTATTTCAATATTAGAAATGGAAAGTTAAAAGAAGATTGTTCATCCATAAAAATTTCATGCTTTACTTTAAATATGTTAATACTTATGTCTAGAAAATGCTTCAATAAATATGGAATAAATATTTTCTTAACATGATCCATATGCTAATTGTTTATATTTTAAGTAATTTAAAATTAATAGAAGTTTCTAAGATTTTTTTTAAGTTAATAATTATTATAATTTAATAATTAATTTAATTTCTGGGATTAGTAATACTACAAATTTAGTATATTAATTAAAAGAGTTTATTAAATTATTATGGTTATTAACTGAAGGATTAAAATTATGTTAGATTGATTTTGCTGATGATTTTATTTCATATTTAGAATAAAAACTATATTTATTTACAGATGATTAAATGAGAGAACTTATTGAGCTTCTATTTGATTGTTCAGTTTCTATGATAAGTAGATTTATAAGACTAAAGAATGCAACTAATACAGCTGAATAATATGGAGAGATAATTATATAAAATGAATTCTGTTTAAAAGTAAATAAATTTATATTTATTAAGGTTCTTGTTGAAACATTCCTATTTAATACAACTCCTTCAGAATAATTAAGACTTAAATGTCTATAATTCTTAGGTATATTAATTTCCATGAATGATTATAATAAAATGATGTTTAGAGAAGCTATTAGATTATCAGTATAAAATCTTAAATTATCATTAGAATTTTTTATTATGTATGAGAAATTAGAAAAATAAGAATTTATAAAAATCTATGGAAGAAGTATTAAAAAGATCATTATCATTCATTAGAAATGATTAAATTTAAAAATTAATCTAAAATGCACCTAAAGAATCATAAAAAAATAAAGTTTTTAGATAATCTGCATTTTCATAATATGTAGGAACTACTTTAGAAAATCTATCTAATAGTGGTTCTGAAACTAAATTTAAAAGATAATTTTAGTTATTAGGAAAGGATAGTGGAATTATAATTAAAAATTATAAAGATATATGTGTAAATAAATCATGGAAATCTTTTACAATTTTAATGGAATTTAAAAGGGAAGGTTTTCATTTTATTAATTCAAATGCAAAATCATTGGATGAAATTTATAAAAAAGAATAGATTTTATTTGCATATACTGGACATATAGAGAGACAAGATAAAGGTGGTCATTAAGGAACATCTTAAAAATAAAATATTGTCTAAGTTGATTTAATAATAGTTTCATTAATTAATTAATTTTTATATCAAGAAGAATAATAAAATTTAAATCCTCTTGATAATTATATAAAAATTGCAATACTAAATTCAGAATAATAAATGTAAGAATTTACAATTATTTACACATAATAATCAAAAGATGAAACTATATTACTTATGTTTATGTTTGATGATAGACATAAAGGAAAATTTAATATAAATATTTAAAATTAGGTTAAGAAATCTTTTTAAATTAAACCATTTTTATCAGAATATATCAAAAAACATTCAGATAAACATCCACTTAGTGTTAATATAGGTTCTTATTATTCAAATTAATAATTTTAAAGAACATTTTAAGGAATCATTAATAATTTTATACTTATTGAGAATATTTTATTGGATAAATAAATTGAATCAATATATACAAGAAATTAAACTAATTTAGTAGAAGCAGTTGAAAAGGAAACAATGAATTTTGGAGTTGATGAAATTTAAAGTATTATTCATTATTATTATTTTATATAGGTAGAGAAATGTAGTACTTAGATTTTGAAAAATTTAAATCAAGTTTTTAAATTGCTGAAATTAAAGATGTTTTAAAAATTATCAGAGCTTAGAATATATAAGATTAAAATTTCATTATGAATATGATTAAGAAATAGATATAACATAAGATAACTTATGAATTAAATTAAGAACCAAAAGTAATATATTAAGGGGCAAATATTATTGAAGATACAAGTTTAGCTGAAGTTTTCTTAAGTTTAGAGAATATTGAAATTATTCTATTCATCATATCTATTACAACTTAAACTTATTTTGATATAGAACCATAAGAAAGGAGATCTTGTAAATTAAGAAGTGTTAAAGTAGTTTTGTAAAATGGATTTGTTTCTAGTAAAGGTGTTTATAAAAGAACAAATTATTTTGATTCTTTATCAAGATCATTATTTTTTGTAAAGGATTTAAGAAAATGTAGAGATGATTATGTAAATTGTCATTAATTTCAATTAAATCTTATGAAATAAAATAGTTCTATAATATCTTTAGGTGAATCTCCTGAATAATAAAGATAAAATTTTATTTAATTAGAATCAGATAGTTAAAATTCAAATACTAATTCAATAAAATTAGCTACTCAACATCAAATTATTTCATAATAAAATGTAGATTAGATTGATTAAACATCATTATTCAATATACCAATTATTTAAGTTTAAAACACATTCTCTTAAGAATTATAATCCCCTTTTGTTATTAAATCAAATGAGTCTGAATTCAAATAGAATTCTCCAGGGGATTTACCAAATATTGAAACACCAAATTATGTTTCTTAGAATGAGAAATTTACATTGGAGTAGTTTAATATAGATAGAAAAGTTAAATCTTAATTTACTGGAAGAAAAAATACAAGAAACTATACATGTAATATATAAGCAAAATAGGCATAATTAATAAGCAAGAATATATAAAATATGGCTGAAATATAGAGTGATAAAAATATTGATTGGCATTAATAATAATAAAGTGAATCAATAATAATGGATTCTAATTTATATCATTGTGAATGGATTAGGGTAAAGATGTAAGTATATGGTGAATTAAAAATATTAGAAAAAGGAAAAATCATTTAATTTTAAAGTGATGGTTAAGAACGACCTGATAAAGAATTCTACATATATGGAACAATAGTATTACATTATATAATAATATTAATAGCCTTATAATTTAAAGAAATTGAAGAAAAAGAAGACTATAAACACTTCATAAATTTTAGAAATTTAAACTAGAAGATATTCATATAAAGAAATTGCTATAGAGATATTCTGCAAAAATACCAAATCTTATTTTTTTGTTTTATATGATTAAGAGAGAAGAACATAATTTTTGAATTAAATAAAATAAAACAACTTTTTCAGTATTGTAATAGATAAAAGAGCAGGTAATTGATAGATTTGATGAATTTTTAGAATTTTAAGCAAAAGAATATACAAAAAAATGGGTGAAAGGAAAATTATCTAATTTTGAATATTTAATGTTAATTAATAAATATTCTGGAAGATCATTTAATGATTTAAATTAATATCCAATATTTCCATGGGTTATTAGTGATTATAAAAGCAAGACTATTGATTTAGTAATTAAATTAATTATTATTAAAATAGAATAAAAGAGAAACTTATAGAGATTTAGAAAAGATGATAAGTACTTCAAATGAAGAAAGATTAAAAAATTGTAAAATTAGAGCTGAATCTCTAAAATAAACTTAGAATGAATATTTTTTATTTGGATCACATTATAGTGTAGCTGCATAAATAATTAATACACTTGTTAGAATAGAACCATTTACAACATTATCTTGCGAATTACAAGATGGAAAATTAGATTAACCTGATAGAATATTTTTCTCAATTTCTAATATTTGGGAATCTTGTTAAAATGATAATTAAGATTATAGAGAATTAATTCCAGAATATTTTTACTTACCAGAATTTCTGAAGAATATTAATAAAATATAGTTTGGTTAAAGATAGAATTAAGAATAAGTAGATGATGTTGTATTACCTCCATGGGCTTCTAGTTGTGAAGAGTTTATTGAAATTAATAGATAAGCACTTGAATCAAGTTATGTAAATGAAAAATTGCATAATTGGATTAATTTAATTTTTGGACCATATGCCTCTGGTGAAGAAGCAAGAAAAAGGGATAATTTATATCATTGGTTAACCTATGATTCATGTTTAACATACTTAGATAAATTGCCAAGTTAAGAAAGATTGGGATATTTAGCTTAAATATAGTAGTTTGGTTAAGTACCTTTTTAATTATTTACAAAACCACATTGGCCTAAATAAAAATAAGAGTAAAATCTATTTTCACCTATGAACTTAATTAAACTTTTAAGTGAAAGAAAATCTCTTAATTCTAAAAGAATAATTAAGTTTGATAAAAGAGTTGCTATCAAAATCTATAAGGAAGGTGAAAATTTACATGTTCTATTGAATGATAAATAAGTTTATAAATTAAAGTATTTATACTAAAATATTTTAGATTTAATAGTAATTAAGAGAGAAGAGATAGTGAAGAAAAATTAGCAAATGCATCATCCTTTTCTATTAGAGGGAATGAGAAACTCCATTCAAAAGTATTATAATTTTAATTCGATGACCATGTTCTATTTGTTTGTGGATATTTAAGTGGAGCAGTTTATATATATAATTTACTAGTTGATAAATCTTAATAAGCTTAGATAATCCATAAAATCAAATTACATAAAAAAAGAGTCACTTGTTTATCATATTCCCCTAAATTGAAAATACTATGCTTGGGTGCAAAAGACAATAGAGTGACTATTTGGAAAGCCATTCATTCTAATGATAAATAAATTTCATTCTTATAAACTCCATCTTTAATTTTGTATGGTCATGATAAAACCATTAAATGTGTTCATATTGATGATACTTTATAAGTTGTAGTAAGTTTGGATAAAATTGGGAAATTATAAATTCATTCTATTATATCTGGATTATTTTTAAATGATATTAAACTTGATTTAGTAGAGGGTGAAAGAGTATAAAATATTGTATCAAATGGAAATGGATTAATAGTATTATACACTACAAATAACTAAATAATAGCTACCAGGTATTATATAAATAATAATATTGTTAGAATTAATGGTTTGAATATTTAGAGATATTCTTACAATAATATGGGTAGTATAACTTAAATTAGTATATATTAATAATCTCATTTATTGGTGTCTACTCTAAAAGGCGAAATACTTATAATATAAGATATAGCCAGTCTACCAGATTAACCTCCTATATTTTTCCATTTGTATCAAAATACATCCAATATAGGAATTAAGACATTTTGTTAATGTATTTTAACTTGAATATCAATTAGTTATGGAGAATGAAGCTTTTATCTTATTAGCAAGTTTGATGGATGGATCATTATATAGATTTGTTATAAGTTGCGAATAAAGTAAAATTGATAATTTATTTAATAGATGTTGAATTTTATCATTATTTAGGCAAGTTAGGAATGTGAAGAAATAGTAAAATTGTAAATTTGATTAATTAACTTTATCTTTAAAAATTAAGTTATCATATCAACAATAAGTATAATATGATTCTGAAACTCTCAATTTTTAATAGAATATCAGAATCATGTAATTTTATGTATTAAATTAATTTAATTATCCCTCTCTTATTATTAATAAATTATGGGAAATTCTATAGAGATTAATTAAACATTATCCTACTCGACTATTCAAGGTTAAGAGATACTTCTTCCTTTCAAGGACTTAAAGGGATAGTAAAATTTTCCAAAAGTGCCTTCAAGAGAAAAAGATATTGAAATTATGTTTTAGAAATGGCTTAACAAAGTAAATGATTATTTGAATATTACAGATTATTATTGGAAGAAGGGAAAAAGAAAAACTTAAAGGAATTCCTCTTAAATATAAATTTAGACTATGTTACAAACATGACTAAATTATTTAAGAATTAACAAAAGGGGAATAATATAAATAGAAAGTTATATAAGAAACAGATACATTAATTTAGAAGGTATTATCATAACAAGACATTATATCATTAGAAGGTACATATCATATACTAGAATATAAGCATTATCAAGAAATTTAACCAATGATGAATTTCTTGAACATAAGATAGCTGTGCTATCTAAGGTGGATCTTATTGCTAAATTAGTGGTAGAATTGAAAACATAAGAATTGTTATCAAGACATTCCAAAAATTTTAGGGATTAGATTGTAATTATCAAAATCTTTGAAAAGTTATTACATCATGAATCAGGTAATCTTAAAATTGTTATTCTTGTATAGGTATATAATTATTATGTGATACTTCTAACTTTTTCTAAATTATGTTTAGTACATTCCATCCTGTTGAACCAGAAATTACTGGATTAATGTTATAAGTTTTAGGAGGTAAATCTGGTTTGTGTTGGCAACCTGAATGTTTAGATAACATTCTTGATGCCATGACTGAATTTTAAAATAATCACAGATTATAAACTAAGTAATAGATAATAATATTAATTATAGATTTGATGTAATAATTAGAAGTATTTATTATACAAAGAATTTAATTATTATTTATCATCTACTTTAATTTTTATTTAATTTTTTATTTTCAGTTGAAAAACCTGAATCTGATGCATTACATAAAGAATTATTAGAAACAGTTATAAATGGTAAAAGAATTGATGAAATATTTCAATAAGTGAAAATTAGAATTGTTAAAGATTATTATTAAATTGAAGAATGTACTTATTAAGGTGTTAGATAAAAATTAGCTTAATTCTAACATCCTCTTGTTGAAAAATTGAATTAAGATAATGAATTTTTTTCAATGTAAAGATTTAAAACAATTACAGAAAAACCACCTAAAGATTTTATTAAACCTAATGTTGAATTTGATCTTGAAGAAACAGGTAGAATTAAATTCGAAAATTGTTTTTATTTTGAATAACATGATATTAAACTATTTAGTATTTTAAAAGTTCAAATTTTTGAACTTATGGATGGTATTTTAAATATTGATTCTATTTTAATTTAAATTGAAAATGATGATCAAGAATAAACAGAAATCATTTCTAATCCAAATGATGTATTTAATGAAATGTAAACTTTGGCTGAAGTAGATGAAGAAGAAGAAGAAGATGATGATAATAGATTAGTTAGTTTTTCAAAAATAAAGAATAATGATTAATTTAGAAATTAAAGCAATATGATTAAATATGCCAATGCTAATTTACAATAAGAATATAATACATTAGAAGAAAAACATTAAATTCTATTTTCTAAATATGAAGAGATGGAAAAATAATTTCGTGAATTATAACATAAATTAATTGATGAGTAAGATAAAAATAAAAAACTTGAAGAATAAAATGAAAAATTAATATATCATTCAACCAATTAAAATTAAGATTAAATTAACACAATAGTATAAGAATAAATTGAATTTCTTAAATAGCAGAATTTATTATAAATCACTTCATTAACTGATGAATTGACTTAATTGAAAGATTAAATTTAAAATTAAAATTTTGTTGAAAATTAATTAATTAATTAAATTGAAATCGAAAGAACAAAAATTTAAACATAGAAACAATAAATTGATTTACTATAGCGATATATTGATTAATATGCTTCATTACCTATTACAGATAAAATTGATGAATAATAAAATGAAGTCTAAAAATCATAAATTGATACTAATAATTTAAATAATACTCAAGAAAACTAAGATAAACCATAAATAGATGGAAAATCAAAAGATGATATTTTATCTGAAAAATACAATTAACACATTGAAATTTCAGAATAAAATTAAACACTTTAAAAAGAGATATTAGATTAAAATAATAAAGATCAATTCAATTTTGTAAATACTAATTAAGATACAAAAAAATAAATAGAAAATCTTAAAAATGAATTAATGATTGAAAGAAAATAAATGTTTCATTAAGAATCATAAACTAATCAAAAAACATATGTAACTTAAGAGGCTTAAACTACTTTTGAGTTTCAACCTAATCCTTCTACTTAAGTAACAGCGTAAGAACAGAAGGATAAATAAGTTAATATACCTCCTGAACCAACTAAAATAAATATAGCTCCTCCACCTCCTCCACCACCACCTCCTGAACCAACTAAAATTAATGTAGCTCCTCCTCCTCCTCCACCACCACCTCCTAGTTCAAAAACTGGAGGACCTCCTCCACCTCCCCCTCCTCCTCTAAAAGGAGCTTAATAAGCACCTAAACCATAAGAATCTCCATTTCCTTTTAATAAGAGCGAACTTATTCCATCAGTTCCTACTAAACCTTTAAATTGGATTTTGATATAACCATAAAATATGAAGAACACCATTTATGAATAAATTTATTAAGAATCCTATGAAATAGATACAAAATATTTAGAAACTTACTTTTATAAAATTTAATCTGCATCATCTACTTAATAGCAAAATAGTGAAAATTAGATTGTTAAGAAAGTAGTATAAACCAAGATACAATTGATTGCAACAGATAGATCTAAAAATATTGAGTTAGTCTTAGGAAAAATTAAGATACCAAATGCTTTGATCATGAAATCATTATTATCAATTGACTTAAATATACTAAATGATTCTGCAATAGATTCTTTAGATACAATAATTCCAACTGATGAAGAAATTAAAATTGTATTAATTATTATAATTAATTTAAGATAAGTGAATTTTAAGGTCAAAAAGATTTGCTTGGAGTTGTTGAAACTTTTATAGATAGTATTAGATAAATTAATGGATTTTAATTTAGAATCAGATCATTAAAATTTAGATCAGTTTATGATGATTATAAATAAGATTTAATTGATAAAATGGCCATTTTAACCTCAAGATTTTCAGAAATTAGAAATTTAAAAGGATTATAAAAGATATTATTAATAACTTTAAATATTGGTAACTTTTTAAATGGTAAAAAATTAATTTATTCATTATTAGCCAAGACTCCTCGAGGCAAAGCTTTGGGTTTTAAAATAGAGGCTCTTGACATCTGTGCTGAAATCAAAACATCTGACAATTAAAATAATAATTTATTACTCTATATAATAGAAAAAACAGAATAAATCATAGGAGGTGAAATCATTACTGAAGAAAGTAATTAATATAATTGAAATTTAGAAATGAAATCATTTGAAGTACTTTAGAGAGTACCAGTTCATCAATTAGTAATTGATTTAGGAGACATTAAAAAAGGTTGTAGTTTTATGAAAAAAGCTATGGAATCATAAACAGATGACCCATAAGATTTAGTATAATAAAAATTTAAGGATGGATATGAATCAATCACGAAAGACATTGAAGATCTTGACAAAAAGATTAATAATTTAGAGGAAGAATATAAAAAATGTGCATAATTTTATGGTGAAAATCCAAAAGATCCATCAGATAAATTTGGAGATAAGATTTTAAAAATATTCAGGCAAATATTAAGATAAAAATTTGAGAAATTGTAAAGAGAAGAAAGAGCAAAAAGATAAGAAGCTTTAAAAAAAAGATAAATGTTGAAAAGTACACCATTAACTGCAAGAAGAGCAGATGAAGGACCTAAACCACCTCCAAAAGAAGCATAAAGATAATCAGTCTTAAAACCTATAATTCCAAGATAATCTATTAAAGAATCTACAAAACTTGAAGTACCTGGTAATAAAGGTCCAAAAAAGAGTTTTATAGCCAATGAGATTAGCTAGCTTCGTCATATGAAATAAGTTAGAGCTAGTATTTTAACTATAAATAAAAAATGAAATCTAATAATTGCTAGCTATCTGAGTAATTTATAAAAAGTAAATAATTTATATATTTTAAAATCAAATAACTGTATTTAGACTTCTATTTTATAATCATAAACTTAAATTGATTGAATATTCCTTTTATTCATTTACTATATTTAGAATAATATAAAGTATAAAAAAGTAAAATGGTTTTAGTTGGTTTAAAAAATTGATAAAATATCACTAAAATATACTTGATATTAATGAGAAATGGAATTTGTTTTAGATTCAAATTTAAAATCAATTAATAAATATGATTCATGAGATATAACATAAACAATCATCAGCTACTGCTTTCTCCTTATTTACATTATAAATTTTCCAATTTTCAACTATTTAAACATCAGTTAGACCTTCTTTTGGAAAAATCTCATCTCTAAAAGTTATTGAGAATTTTTTGTTCTAACCATTGATTTCATTGTTATTTTTATCTGTTCTTATTTTATTTTCATGTCTTTTAGCACTAATTTCCGTTGGAAGTTATTCAAAGCACCAATTGATTTCATTATCTTGATCAATACTTTGATCACCTTTGCAAGTCGATATTCTTATCATTTCTTAAATAAATTATATGTTTTAAGGGAACTTAATTTATGAAATGAAAATCGTAATCAAAGAATAAATAAATAAAAATTCTAAGAAAAGTTTCTTTTTTCTTTTATTTACATTAATAATTTATAATTAAGGTGTTGTTTTAATTGTTAAAATCTTTTATTTTATTCAATGATTTTGATTATTATTTATAAAATATTTACAAAACTCGGTATTTAGTAAATTCCTTAATGAAATATACAAGATTTCATAATTGTTTTTTTAACTTTATGAAATTTACTTATAAAAATAAAAAACTTAAATAAATGATCTTTTATAATAGGCTTATTTGATTATGAGTATTATTTACATATTAAAATGAATTTCAATTAGAACTTAACAATAATTTGATATTATTTAGTAATCAGATTGTAAATGAAGATTATTATAATGAATGTCATATATTTTTATATATATCGATCATACTCCTTACATTTATAGTTTAGAGGCTACATCTAAGTCTTTAACCATTTTCTTAAATTCTGCAAAGGAAATCTTAGAATCAAAGTCTTCATCTGCTTTGATTATGGTTCTATCTACTAATTGTTATAATTGAACATCAGTTAAATTATTTCCAACCATCATCTAAAGCACTTTGAATAACTCTCCGTTTGTAATAAATCCATCTTGATCTATATCATAAATTTTAAACATAAATTTTAACTTCTCTTCTTCATCATTACCATACAAACTGGAAAGTCCAGTGATAAATTCAGCAAAACTTATCTTACCATCATTATCTTTATCAAATATTTAAAACACTCTTTTCACTAATGGATTTTGTGATAGCTCAGGAACATCAAACAATTCAGATGGTTCTAATTGACCAGAGCCATCCTTATCTAAGAATTGAAATCTCTTGTAAAGCCTTTTAATCTCTTGAGGTTAGAATGTACCCATTTATTCTTCCATTCCTTGACCATTTCCCATTTTTGATTATGTTATTAAAAATATTAATAATCCTTATATATAAAATTAATTTTGTATAATCCGTCAATATTTAAAAATCAGGATCTGAAAATTTTTAATGGGATATATAATTTATGATTCTAATATAAAATTATCAATAAATTGATATTTATCATATATATTTTTGTTTTTCTTCTTCATTATCTCTTCCAATTTTATTTTTTTCTAATAATTCTTCAAAGAAGATAGTTAAATTTTTGCTTAGTTCTTTATCATGAATATCTATTTTTTTTTTGTCTATTGGTAAAATTTCATCTAAAATAAATTTTTTCCATTCTTCTTAAAATTTGATAGTGTAATAAAACCTATCATATAGTTTATATCTATTTTATGAATTTTCTATATAGAAATTCTTGATTATATCTAAATTTTGTTTTCTTATGTTTTCTTTTTCATTAAACGCTTTAACATTTTCTACTTATTCTTTCTCCTATTAAACTCGATCCTCAAACTTTTAATCTATTTAATCTTTTTTCTTATTTTCACCTTCTTTTTTTGTATCACGTGAATACTTTTCGTTTTCCAACATTTAGTTTAATTCTCTTTCTTATCGTATTTTTGTAGAGTATCTAATATTTTTTGAATTAAAATTTAAAAGTCCTCCTTATTCTAATTATTAAAAAAATTTATGTTCTATTTCAGTTGTCATATATTCTTTATCTTCATTTTTTTTATTTATCCTTTCTTCAAAATAATTTAAGATTGCTATTATCAATTCATAGCCTTGTCTATCCCAATAATTTTCAATAAAATAATCAAATAATATTTTCTACCAATTTAACAACTTTCTGTGCAATTATAACTCATTTTAACAATTCTTTTTGAATTCTTCATTACAATTTCTAATAACTATCTCAAAATTGCGTTTAATGTTTTAAACATCTTCTTAAAAGTATTCATAATCTGTTTCTTAAGTTTCATTATTTACGTATTTATCTATTGTATTTTTTATTTCTGTGGGGTTTTCATACAATGATTATTCAATCTCATAAAACATATCTTTAATAATATTCATTGTTTATTATATAAAATGGCTATCACCATCCTTTGCCCTTATTTAAAACTCAGTCTTACAACAATATTTTTTTATTTAATAATTAATCTATTGAAGCTACTTCAAATTTTCCTCTATACTTACATCTTCATCTTAATAATTCAAAAATATAATCTTCATTGATTTTTATGGTTTAATTTCTGCATTAAATCCTTTCTCTGTATAAATCCATATATTTTCTAATGTTATTTTAGGTAATGTTTTCGCTTCTTTTCTGTAAACTTCAATAACCTTCTCGTAAATTAATTTTATCAATATTAAGCATTAGCCAATACTCAATCGAATAATTTAAGATAACTATGTTAAATAACATTTTACATATGATTTAAGAAGGATCTCAAGTGATATATAATTTGATCCTTCAAGTTAATAAAAAAAATATTTTTCATCGTCTCTTTTACAAATATAGTGTACTTCAGGGAGGTATTATTTCTTTTTCTTTCGAAATGTAAATTTATATATGCCTTCCAAATTTTCCATTCTCTCAAATTCTATTAAAAATTATGATTAAAAAAAATAAATTTTTTTTCGATTTATATGAAAGGGTGGTAGAATTAGTATGAGATAACATAAAAAGTAAATAGGAATGATGATGATTTTCTTCAAAAAATAATGTACCTTGAAAATAATGAATATCAAAACATTTAATAAAAAATAGATCACACAGATTATAAATTTGATTAGTCTTAATGTTTTAGCTTACATTAATTAATAGAATCAATGGTAAATTGATTATAATTGTTAGAATTACAATTTCACAAAGATCTATAAAGGATAGCTTATAATTATTATATTAGAAGTCTTAAAACATCTTTAATAATTACATTAATAGAAAATATCACATGGAAAATTAATACCTTAAAACATTGTTATCTAATTAAAAAATGATAATAAATTAACAATCATATAAACTAAATTTACAATACATAAAGTATATTTTATAAATTATAGTATTATTGATGATTCTAATTATCAATTTAATTATATAGAAGATATTAATTAAATAATTGATTGTTGTATTTAATTTATTTAAGCATTTTCAAATTAATAGTGTTAATTATTCAAGACCATTTGTAATTAATTGAATGATTATAAAAATAATATAAAGGAGGATGATTTAAATAAATTAATAGGCTTTTTTAATCTTCTAATTTAAGAGTATTTAATAATATTATTTTATTTTAGTTGTGTTGATTAATAATAGTAAAAGCTTAAAAAAGGTTAAATTTATTTAAATGAATCAAACATTTAAGAAATTAAATATTAGGAAGGAGAAGAATATGGGATTTTATCAAAAAGATAAAGAAATATAACTGCTATCTTAAAATTTATTGATTATTTAAATGAATAAGGCATTATTTATGAATTAAAATATCTTAATAATAATAATAATGAGAACAATTATGTAGATTAAATTTAATTATTTGACACTTCATAATCAAGTTAAGATGAATTAAAGATATTTAAGATTTTTGAATCAATTATAAAATAATAAATGATGAAGATAATTTGGTATCACATAGGAGCCTATTTAGAATCTTGGGAATCAAATTTAGATATAATAATTTAGGCAATCCTTAAAGAAATTAATTAAACAAATAAACATATCTTGAATACTTAATTAATTACAATTCTTAAAGAATTCAATAATATTAACTAATTGAATAAATAAATATAAGATGAGATTGAAACATATTATAGATTCTAAATTAATTATGATGAATAGAAAGCAAAAGATTAATTCATTTTAGAATTAAAAATTTAATCATAAAATTACTCTAAATAGAATTTTCAAAGCTTTATTGATTAAATCAAATCTAATGTAAAAATTGAATTAGAAAACTATTACAATTAACTTGTAACGATCGAGATTTTAACCCTATAAGATTATTTGATTTGAAATCAATTTACATCATATTTTTTGAAATAAATAAAAATTATAAATAATTTATTAAGGATAATTGAGAGAGATAAAAAAATGAATGCTAGAATTTAAAGGTAAACTGAAATAATACTATAAAATCATTCGACCTTTTCTGATGGTACTGCTACTATAGGTGCTACAGAATATGCTTCCAATTGTAATTAGTTTTAGCCTTGACTTAAATAAGATTAAAATACCAACAGCAACATAGGCTAAACCTTTAAGACCCCAAGAATCTCCCCATGAATTTTCAATAATCCAATAATTAACTCCATCTTGTTTGCCCCAACCAATAACTTTGACTGCATGTCCATATTGGAACCTAAAATAATAAGATATATAATTACTTTGAACTTCCTTCAACAATTTCATAGATTCCTCCTTTATATACAAGAAAGTCTTTAAATACTTGGATAACTGCAACAACAGGTCCATTATTTAAAATTTCTCTTTTAATGTTTTCTTCACTTGAGACAATGCAATAATCTTATATCTTATATTTTTCACAATTAGTAAAGAGAGCATCACAATTATCTTTTGCATCTTCAGTTCCAGTGTATGGTAAACAAGAGGTTGTAACAAATCCTTACTTTTTACCAACTTCCAATACTCTAGTAACACTTCCTCCTCCACATCTATAATTTTTATTATCACAAGAGATTGGTGATTATGGTGATAATTAATCTTAAAATTCACCATTTCTCACTTTACATAATCTATCACTTGTAGCTGAAACAGCAGCAATAGAATAACTGGATGAACAGTTTCCTATTGATTAATCAATATATTACCTTGATTGTAGATTGGTTAAGCACATTCTGGTTAAACTTCTCTAAAATTGTAGCTCTCTGGGATTATGACTCCACTCTCTGGACATTATGGAATTTTTCCTTTGAATGTTAAATGATTATTAAAAATGAATTTAGCATCACTAAATTTCCAATCTTTAAAGAAATCATTCGATCCTTGTAAATAAGATCCTAAAGAATTATGTCCAGCAATTTCTTCTTCATCAATTACTGGGGCAGTATTGAGCTTTTTACTTGAGCGTGTTAATATAGATATTAATGCATAAACACACACAAATCCAAATGCACCAATTACCAAATGGTAAGCATATTTTTCAAAAAAGCTTGGTTATGTTTGATTTCTTCTTTTCATTGCTTAAGCTGCCTTTTCTCTTTATGCAACCTTTTCTGGAGATTAAGGAGAAGGACTTCTTTATCTTTACGATACTTAACTCATCTTTTAATTTAATTATTTAACACGTTTTATTAATTAAATTTAATATATACATTAAATATAAATACTACATATTTNAATTGAGAGAGATAAAAAAATGAATGCTAGAATTTAAAGGTAAACTGAAATAATACTATAAAATCATTCGACCTTTTCTGATGGTACTGCTACTATAGGTGCTACAGAATATGCTTCCAATTGTAATTAGTTTTAGCCTTGACTTAAATAAGATTAAAATACCAACAGCAACATAGGCTAAACCTTTAAGACCCCAAGAATCTCCCCATGAATTTTCAATAATCCAATAATTAACTCCATCTTGTTTGCCCCAACCAATAACTTTGACTGCATGTCCATATTGGAACCTAAAATAATAAGATATATAATTACTTTGAACTTCCTTCAACAATTTCATAGATTCCTCCTTTATATACAAGAAAGTCTTTAAATACTTGGATAACTGCAACAACAGGTCCATTATTTAAAATTTCTCTTTTAATGTTTTCTTCACTTGAGACAATGCAATAATCTTATATCTTATATTTTTCACAATTAGTAAAGAGAGCATCACAATTATCTTTTGCATCTTCAGTTCCAGTGTATGGTAAACAAGAGGTTGTAACAAATCCTTACTTTTTACCAACTTCCAATACTCTAGTAACACTTCCTCCTCCACATCTATAATTTTTATTATCACAAGAGATTGGTGATTATGGTGATAATTAATCTTAAAATTCACCATTTCTCACTTTACATAATCTATCACTTGTAGCTGAAACAGCAGCAATAGAATAACTGGATGAACAGTTTCCTATTGATTAATCAATATATTACCTTGATTGTAGATTGGTTAAGCACATTCTGGTTAAACTTCTCTAAAATTGTAGCTCTCTGGGATTATGACTCCACTCTCTGGACATTATGGAATTTTTCCTTTGAATGTTAAATGATTATTAAAAATGAATTTAGCATCACTAAATTTCCAATCTTTAAAGAAATCATTCGATCCTTGTAAATAAGATCCTAAAGAATTATGTCCAGCAATTTCTTCTTCATCAATTACTGGGGCAGTATTGAGCTTTTTACTTGAGCGTGTTAATATAGATATTAATGCATAAACACACACAAATCCAAATGCACCAATTACCAAATGGTAAGCATATTTTTCAAAAAAGCTTGGTTATGTTTGATTTCTTCTTTTCATTGCTTAAGCTGCCTTTTCTCTTTATGCAACCTTTTCTGGAGATTAAGGAGAAGGACTTCTTTATCTTTACGATACTTAACTCATCTTTTAATTTAATTATTTAACACGTTTTATTAATTAAATTTAATATATACATTAAATATAAATACTACATATTTGTCATATACATTAATTTTAATATTTTATTGATTTATTAATGTATATCAAATGTCTTGGATATTTAGTTAATTCTTCAATATATTTGGTTGTTCAATAAACAATCATTTAAATTAAAAAGATCTGATATTTAGTAAATTAATTAATTTCTTTATTTATTGTAAATTTGGTTAGTATTATTATTATTTATGCTATTGATATATCAATTTTGGTTAATAATATAATTTTCAATTAAATATAATTGATTGTTTTTCATTATTACCATTAAAAATTATAAGATATTAAATTTTGCAAGTCATTCATTTATTTTTTTAAAGAAGAATTATAATTTTTAAACACATTCATATATAACATAGTTAATGTATTTTTTTTTAATTTCCCTTAAAAAAAATCAAATTCAAAACTGAGTTTTCTAAGTAATGATGATTCATTAGAAAAAATATCTTTATAACTTATATAAATATATTAAATTAATAAACCCTGCTTATTAATTTATTTTTATAACTTACTCAATTATTTTTCTAATTTTTTTGAATAAACCTCATTCAAATCCATTATAATAATAATTGTTTCATCAAAAGGATTTCTATTAATAAAAGATTCTATTAATTATTTTATTTATGAGCTTTAAACTTTAATCTTTAATATGATTAGAGATCAATAATTATTAAATTTTAGTTTATCCCCTCCTGAGTATAAACCCAAATTAGGATCTGGAATGGAATAAAGATATAAATTATTATATTTATTTAAAATGATATAAAATTTTTTTAGTTATCTATATGACTTATAATAAATATTGATACTTTAATTTATTCAATATATAATATTAAAAATATATAAAATAGTAATAATTTTTATAAAGTTCTAATCAAAATAATAATTACAAATGTTTAGTAGCTCTATTAATATAATTATTAAGTTTGAAACTTAAGCTCTTAAATTTGTTTTCGTATATTTTAAATAAAATAAAATCAAAAATCTAATATTAAAATTGCAATTTATTTATTCTCTCACATAACCAAATAAATATTCATTAATTTTCAAATTCTTGATTTTTTCTAATTTTAAGCTCATTATCCAATAGTGCGTAATTATATTGTTAAAAAATGATAATATCACATAATAATAGCTATTTATTATTTATTAAATTCTCTTTTTCCTTTTATATAAATAAAATGAAAAATAACGAGAATCTTTCAAGTTATGCTGTAGAAAAAAGGATTGGAGAAGGAGCCTTTGCTGTTGTGTATAGAATCTTTATATTAAAATTAGTTTTTTAGCAACGGTTTAGGAGTCAGGGGAAAGAGTTGCAATTAAAAAGGCACCTCTTGACAAGAAATATAAAAATAGAGAGCTTGCCAACCTGAAGTTACTTGGAGATCATCCAAATATTATATCCCTCAGGGATGCCTTTTATGTAGTTGGTTAAAAGTATAACGTATTTATTATGAATTAAGTGAAGAAGTTTATATAAATTATGTTATGGAGTACATTCCTGAGAATTTATCAGATTACATAAAGAATTTGAAGAAATAAAAGAAGCAATTTACATAAATTCAATTATAATGCATAACTTATTAATTACTTAGAGGATTGGCTTTTATTCATGGAAAAGGAA